ACAGAGTGTTGGGCTGGATGGGCCTTTGGCCTGATCCAACATTGGCGTCTCTCATGTTCTTATGTTATGTAGTCACTGGGGGTGTGGAGGGGGAGGTGTTTGTGAATTTCCTGGATTGTTCAAGGGGTTGGACTAGATGACCCTAGGGGATCCCTTCCAACTCTGTGATTCTCTGGTCTGATCCAGCAGGCTTTACGAGCTGAAATTCAGTGCTAGCTAAGAGTTCCCTCACAGAGATGTACCTCTGAGGGGCAGCAGCTTTGTGGGGAGAGAGGAAATGAAGGAGGCGGTTGTGCTCCCTGGCTCTTGTGCAGCAGCCGCAATGCTTGGGAGACGTTCTAATAGTGCAGCTCACCCCGCAGAGAGGAGAGGAAGGCCGGAGCTTGGGCTAGAACCCCACTGCCTCCGGAGAAGAGGGTGTGCACGGCAGTCTCTAAAAGGAGGGCCTTAGAAGGCGCCCCAATAATTGTCAGCAAGCTGCCAAGTGTTTTTTGTTTCCCTTTCATACGCATTCCTTTCCCTATGCTTAATTGCCGCTTCGCAGTACCATGTAGCTTTCAAGGCCGCAGGAGGAGTGCAGTGGAGATTGCTTTTGCTTTAGATGGGATTAGCCGTGGGAAGCTTGTACCTGTTTTGCTTTGGGCATCAGTTGGTTCTCAAGCCTCCTGGCGCGCGCGGGATCCACTCCTGGCACGCGTGGTAACCACACCAATTGGGCAGCACTATTTTGAATGCACTATAACCTCTTATGCGCATAGATCCCCGTTATTCCTAACAATGATCCTGTACATGTACTCATGGCTTCAATAAAAGTATAACCTTCTTGCAAGTGTGTACTCCGTTGTTGCTGTGGGACCTGACAATAATTCAGCCACTGGGAAGGCACTCCGTGATATGGAACCCAACTACAGGTTGTAGCTGGCAAAAGGAAAACTACAGATCAGTCAGCTCTCTCCCAAGTGCAGAGCACTGCCAGGGCTTAGTTTGCAAATGGCTCTAGCCAGAGGAAGAACAAAAGGTTTATCATCGCACACCTTAGCTAGATTGTCCCACCTGAGGCCAGAGACCGCAAAAGCTGTATAGTATTTTCTTCCCTTTTGAGTTAGGAAGGTTGTGAATGAACTCAGAGAGGGATGGACTCTCAAACCGGACAAGACAAATTCTCAGGATATAAGACGAGCTCTCACTCGTCTTATAGATTCTGGCCACAAAGGACTAAACCTTTACATGAAGACTCCATCTTCATCTTGACCACAGGTTGAGGGAGTCCCAACTCTGAGAACTAAGGTAGCAGAGGAATTTTAAACTCTGCAACTTTACCAGTTACTAGCCTATCCTAATTTGACATCTGTTAGGATAAGTAGTATCCTCTAAGTAGTATAATACTATAAGTAGTATAAGACGGCCCAGGCTAGCCTGATCTTGTCAGATCTCGGAAGATAAGCAGGGTCAGCCCTGATTAGTATTTGGATGAAAGATAACCAACAAAGTCCAGGGCTGCTATGAAGAAGGCAATGGCAAGCCACCTCTGTTAGTCTCTTGCCTTGAAAATCCTATGCAGTTGCCGTTAGCTGGCTGCAACTTGATGGCACTTCACGCACACGAACACACAGGGAAAGTACTGAGCCAGGGTGTAGAAAAAGGTTTTTCACCTTTTCTTTATATCCTTGCTCAGCCTGATTCTGTACAGATTATGTGTAGACTTTCTATTCACATACCATACTGTCTAATACTTTGAATGCTCAAAGCCTGGCCTCTGCATCTGCACTGTGTCTATTTGGTCCTGCTTTCCAAAGAGCAGTAAAGAGGAAAGGGGAGGGTAACATTTTGTCCCTAATAAGACACCTGGTTGAATTCCGGAAGTTATTCCAAGCAGGGAGGACCCCTTGTCGCTTTCAAGAGCCTCTGAAGATCAGCACAGGATAGCAGAAAAGCCTGTGCTGGCCAGGAGGCTACCAGGATTCTTTTTTTAAAAAGTGCTTGTCATTGGCCAGTGCTTTTGTGGATCCTGTAATTCACCTGTGCGCATACAAAAAGTCTGTGCCAAGAAAAGCAGCATTCTATGACTCGCGTCTATTATGCAGATTAAATACTGAATCCCCCAACTCCTCGAGACCCAATTCAGCCACCCACTCCAGATTCAGAGATCTCCCCAGGCATTCCACGCATGTCCCATGCCCATCTGTTCAGGCAAAATGGCTAAAAACTCGCTTCCTCCAATGTGGACCTCTGCTCTCACAGCGCTTCCCTGGAGGAGTTGTGGAACACGAACAGCCCGGCTGAGAGTCTCGTGAAACGAAAGCAGAGCTGCACACATGCTCAGGAGGGCACGGAAAGCCGGCACAGACCCTGATTTACACGCAGCGCTGTGAAGAGGTTTGCTCACGGCATTCTGCAGAGCTGTGGCCTCCAGACACACGCGGGGGGCAACTTGAAGGTCGCCTAGCCTCACGGCCACGAAGGCACGGACCGTGGCGTATGAGAGAGGCCTGCAGCTTCCTTGCTCCCTGGAGCCAGAGGAAGGGACTCCTGGCCACTGTGAGGCCTGCCAAGAGGCCCACAGAAGTCCTCCCCCACTGCCACCTCCATCGGTGGCGGCAGCAAGCACACAGGCAACACATGGATGGCTTCAAAAGGGAATTAGATAGGCATATGGAGCAGAGGTCCATCAGTGGCTATTAGCCACAAGGTATAGACAGGAACTCTTGGTCTGGGGCAAGTGATGCTCTGTCTTCTTGGTGCTTGGGGGGGGGGAGCAACAGTGGGAGGGCTTCTAGTGTCCTGGCCCCACTGGTGGACCTCCTGATGGCACCTGGTGTTTTTGGCCACTGTGTGACAGAGTGTTGGACTAGATGGGCCACTGGACTGATCCAACATTGGTGTCTCTTATGTTCTTATGTTCCTGCACCAGAAAACGAGAAGGGCCTTACCCAGGTTGTAGAGGATGCAGGCCTGCTCGTACTTGATATCCTCGTGAGTCACTGCCTTGCCGGAGAAGATCTCTGTCCTGCAAGCAGAGAGAGTGCCGTTATGGTGGAGGACCGGACAATGCTTGGAGGCAGACGGGCATCCCCAAAGGGCTCAGAGTCACCCCCCACTCCAGGAACTTCTCAGCTCAAACAAATGCCTCTGGCGGGGGGTTGGGTGTCAGCTTGACTGGTGAAGTCAAGTCAGAGAGAGTCACCTTCTGTGATGACATGAGAGCGAGAAAGAGGCAGGTTCTGGGTTCTCTCAGACGCCATCCTTACACAGAGATGAGAAGGCCAGGAAAAAACAGCAGAAACGTTTAGGGGAAAATAACACGTGTGTTTCCTGTCCCAGACTTGCCCCCCGGTTTTCTGTTTTTCCCCTGTGTCGGGGAGCACTTTAAAAAACAGAACTCCTGTCAAATATTCCTTTATATTCTCCAGGCAAGGTTTTTCACACTCCAAATGTCTGGCGCGAGACGGACTGAGGACTGCCTTAATTCTTCTAATGGAAAAGTTGGGAAATTCAGGAGGGCACGGAATTTAAAAAAATAATAACACCTCTTCCACAAGAGTTTTAATTTTTTTGTTTAAATGTAAATAATTTTGGCAAGAAGTAATATGATACAACGTGATTAATCATAACACATCATTAAAGAGTTCAGTGCTCATGATGTTCTAAAGCAGAGGGGACCAACTCAGGGGTCATTTCCCGCAGGAGTGCACAGGAGCGGAGCTCCGGCAGTAAAGAGCCCAGGGGGCGGGCACATGCAACAAGCCCCGCCCCCTGCTCCCAGCAGCCCTCAGTCAGAGCAAGAAGCAGCCAGGTAAGTTGCAGAGCCCCACGGCCCAAAACAGTCCAGTGGCACCTTTAAGACCAAGTTTTATTCAGGTACAAGCTCTCCCTCCTCTGCGAGGACAGATCTGCATGCCCCCCCCCCATAGCTAGCAATCCAAAACAGTCCAGTGGAGCCTGAGCGGTGGGTGTTGCCTTCTGACACACTTCCGGCGATGTCAGGGGGTGTGGCATATGCAAATAAGCTATGCTAATGAGTTATGCTAATGAGCTCTTGCACCTCTTTTTCTTCAAAATTACCCCTGAATAAAGGTATGTGATGTAATTTACCTTCGGGGCTGCCTCTCTCAGTATGTGTTATGTTCCGGCAATTAAATCCTCCGGGTGGTCCCCGGCCTGAGAGAGATCCAGGTGTCCTCGACCAGGGCCAGGGCTTTTTCAGCCCCGGCCCCCACCTGGTGGAACGCTCTGCCAGAATGTTCTGCCGGGCTTTTGGTTGAGGACCCCATATCTCCCTTCACCTAGCCCCTTGGGAGGCTACGGGGAAGCTGTGATTTTTTTCTGAAATTTTGCTATCCTGGAACAGACTGTCTTTTATATATCGATTGTATGGGTCTTTTATTATGGTATTTAACTTAATCTAAATTATTTATTTTTTACCTTGTTGTAAACCGCCCTGAGCCCTGCCCGCAGGGAAGGGTGGTCTAGAGGACTAAATAAATAAATTACGGCACTCTTCTCGTCTCCTGCATTCTGATCTCTAGCTGTTGTAGATTTTCCAGGCTGTGTGGCCGTGGTCTTGGCCTTGTAGGACCTGACGTTTCGCCAGCAACTGTGAATGGCACCCTCAGAGGTATACCACATAAAGATGGAGTACTCTCTGTGTCAAGGTGAGACGAAAATGGTAAGAAGGTAATTTATATCTACTCAGGAAGGTGGGGTAGGGCTGAGTCATTGGAGCTTTCCTGAGGAGGTTCTTTTGTAAATGGATTGTTTCCTGGTCTCTCCTTGCCGTATCACTCCCCTGCAATCCTTGTCCCACTGTCTTGACATTTCTTCCACTTTAGAGGTGAGGAAGCTACTTAAGTGGAGGAAATGACAAGACAGTGGGCCAAGGGTTGCGGGGGAGTGAAATGGCAGAGAAAGATCAGAATGTAGGAGACGAGAAGAGTGCCGTAATTTATTTATAACATCCCCCCCCCTTCCTTCCAGACCTCTCTCAGACCCAGTTTTTCCTGAACAGCGTTCCTTGGGTCACACTGCCAGGCTCACTTCTGGCGGCCCGCTCGCTCTGCCCTCTGCACCCACGCTGGCCCTCTGACGCGGAATGGGAGCTTCCCATGAAGAACACGTACCACCACCCTTGTGTCCTGGGCAGCACCCTCCCCCATGGGGATGCGGCTCTGCAGGTAGTGAAGCTGGCCAAAGTACTTCCGCAGGATGCTGCAGCCTTCAAAGTCCCTGGGCACGTTCACGGCGTTCTGCAGAGAGAGAGGGGGGAGAACCACAGGACTGAAAGGATGCCAGGAAGGAACAGCGTTCCAGCGACAAGGAAGGACTCCCACCGGTGGCCATTCCTGCATTTGCTGCGTTCAAAACCATCCGTGGTGTAGTAGAGATGGGACTATAAAG